GAGACTTATTTACCCTGTTCATGGGATTCCACAGTTACTGCTGAGGGCAACAAAAGGAAGTTCTGGCTAGAGGCTTTTTTCTTGGCAGTTAAACTGTGAAATGCAGATCTTGTAGAGGCAATTTTTATCTGTAGTATAGAAAATGGAACAATAGGCCTGGCTGGTTAGCTCAGTTGGTTAGAGCAATGTGTTATAACACCAAAGTCAGGGGTTCAGATCCCTGTACTGGCCAGCCAACAAAAAAAAGAAAAGAAAATGGAACAATTTTTTTAAAGCAATTGAAGAAATAAAGTTAACACAAAATTATGGATAATGGAAACAAAATTAAATTGGGGTGAAACTATTATATAAGTGACACACTATGGTATTTGGGATTCTTGCTTGATGTGGGGCAGGGTGGCAGCAAGGGAGCAAGAAATAGGTTCCAGAAGGAGGCTGATTTTCTTTTTTTAATTGGGACTTGTATTAGTTTTCTGTGCTGCATAAAAAATTACCACAAATTTGGCAGCTTAGAAACAACATATGCATTCATTACCTCACAGTTTCCTTGGGTCAGGAGTCTGGAGTCTGGTGCAGAGCAGCACAGCGGGGTCCTCTGCTAAGAGCATCACAAGCCTGCAGTCAGTGTGTCAGCCAGGCTGCCATCCTTTCTGGAGGCTAGGCTTCTCTTTCAAGCTCATGTGTTTGTTGGAAAAATTAATTCCTTGTGGTTGTAGGACTGAGATTCCAGTTTTCTTGCTGGCTGTCAGCTGAGGACCATTCTCAACTCCTTCAGTCCTTACCTCGTGGCTCCCTCCATAGTCCTCTCATAACTTCAAGGCTGGCAAGAGAATCTCTCTGACCTCAGGAAGGGCCACTGGCCTTCTCTGAAAGGACTCACCTGATTAGGTCAGGACCAGCCAGGATAATCTTGTGTTTGATTAACTCAAAGTCGCTTATTTAGGGACCCTAATTACATCTACAGAATCCCCTTTACTTATCATGTAATCATGCGAGTGATAGTTTGTCATATTGATGGGTCCCACCTACATATGGGGGCAGGGTATAATACCAGGGCATGAGTCACTGGGGGTCATTTGAGAATTAAGTCTACTTAAGAATAAGTTCTTCAGTATATTCTTGTCTCTTCTTACAGTTGCTTAGAAGGCTCTATTTTTTTCAGAGACTTACTCTTCCTCAATGTTATATCTAAATAATTAATAGCTAGTGTCTAGTTTTTAAATTTTGTAGTGTTCTATTTTATAACCTTTGGTTAGAAATAGTTGGCTACACATAAATCAATACAAATCTCAGTACTTATTTTCATTAAAGTCAACTTTTAAATTGAAGTAGACTTTTAGAAAACTGTGGAGGAATTGCACTGCTGGGGATATAGAGGAGCTCATCTGCCTTCAGTAAGCATGTAGCCTCGTAGGCATCCTGAATTGGTCCTAATCAAACAAATGATTATGACTTAAGACAAACTAAAGTTGCAGACATGAAAGAATTTATAGGAGGTATATGTATATTTACACACACACACACGCACGCACGTGCGTGCGCACACACACACACACACACAGAGTTTTGTGGGGTTTTTTAATCTAGGTACTCAGTCTTTAAGACATTTCTCAGACTCTATATGGTAGCATTTACCACAACATAGTATTGCTAACAATAATTCTGCACATTTAAAATCTACCAAGTGCTATCACAGATGTTTTTAAAATTCTGTCCCCAAAGTTACCTTAGGCAGGTAAGCATCATCTCTGTTTTTAAATGAGGAAACAAAGTCACGTGTTTGCTTAAGGTCACTCAGTTGATAAGCAATAGGCCCAGAGGGCTAGAATCCAGAAATTTCATTATTTCTGTTTTTAATACAATATGACATATATTTTTAAGTCTTTGATTGAGATGGAAAAGTAGTAATAGAGAAATAGGAATTGTGCAACTGATAAAGAAAAAGGACAATTTTAAGAATAATCAATTTATTGGTAGATTTTACAGCACAATCTCTTTCTAACAAGGCCACCCACAAAGGTATTCTCACAACCCAAAACAAGTGTAAGCAAAAGAAAGTTATTTGCACTTCTTGTCTTATCTATAGCATTTCTCAAATAAGAAATTGAATTCTTAAACTGAGAGAAGTTAGTAAGAGAGCCCCAGTTATTTGTCCAAAATTCCAAGGGTAACCAAAGGATTCCAAACTGATGGAATAAATTTCTTCTATTTCAATAGGTGCTCTGTTACATTTCTATTCATACATAACTGTTAGAAATATGTTTTAAAGATTGTAGATTTTAAATATTGTTTAATCAAAACATTATATTTTAGTAAAGTACAAGTCATTTTGTTTACTGTCTTCATAATTTCAGTGTTTCTTTATTTAATACATTTTTAGATTGTTAAATTGAAGTTGAAATTTACATATGCATATCTCTTAGAGAAATATATTTATTGGCTTAGTCTGTCTTCAGTGGAGATACATTTATAGAGTCAAGATCTGCCAGTGTGGAAGGAATAGACAGAAATCTTGTGGCATACAAGTATAATGAACAAGAGAATCCACCCAGAGTTTTTCTTAGGAAGAAAAGAGCCTCATCAAATATTAATCTTCTATTTTGCCTAAGATTCCACCTAGAATTAATTGTAGCCATGAGTTATGTCTTACCAAATTGAAATCTCAAAAAGTCTAATTTAGATGCAAAGCATTAACTTCAGGATTGAGAAAGATTCTGGTGCATATTACTTAAGTAAAAGCTTAATTAGTTTTGCCTAAGATTCCACCTAGAATTAATTGTAGCCATGAGTTATGTCTTACCAAATTGAAATCTCAAAAAGTCTAATTTAGATGCCAAGCATTAACTTCAGGATTGAGAAAGATTCTGGTGCATATTACTTAAGTAAAAGCTTAATTAATTAACATTATATTATTAGTAAAATGTATTTTAATTTATGTATTGATAAACTAACAGAAAGATTATAAATAAAAGCTGCAGTCAATGTGTGTCTTTATAGCACCATCTCTACTACTAATAGGGAGACTTGAACTTTTTAAACCTTGCTTTTGGTTTTTATTATATATAAGGCATTTCTTTTAGATACTGTGGGGAATACATAGGTGGACAAAGCAAAGTTCTCTCTTAAGGGTTTAAAATTTACTAGGGTTCATGGTTAAGGAACATGCATAGTTCTATGGAAGCTAAGAGAATGGAGAAGCTACTTTTCTAAAGAAAAGAGAGAAAGAATAAAGAATTTCATGAAGGAGGAAATACTAAGCTGCTTTTTAAGGATGAGATATTTCAGCAGAAGGAAACACCATGTCTAGAGTCATTGATGTAGAAATGGCAGGCAGGTTTGGGGAATGGCAGCCAAGTTTGACTTGAGGTGAGTCTGACTGAACACAAATTGAAGCTAAATCGTAGAGAGCCTTATTACCCACAAACATATGAGTTTTATTCTATTTGTGTGAAGAACCTCTGAAGGGCTTTGAATCTTTATTTGAATAACAGGTTGATGTTGTTTTAGGAAGTTGTGTAAAAGGTGGTATGAAGGTAGGGAAAGGTTGAAGGGAGAACGGTGGTTATTGCAGTAGTCTTAGTAGGATAATGAGTCTGCGTTAAGAGAGTGGTAGAAGGAAATGAATATGAGAAACATTGCATAATTTATAGAACCTGACAACTGACTGGACATAGAGAATTAATAATTAGGGAGAGAGATGGATTCAAGCTTGGATGATACAAGGAAGATTTTCAGGTTTAAGGAAATTATGAGTTTGCTTTTACATATTAATTATTAGGTACCTTGGGGTCAATTCATGAACAAATATTTACTGAAAATCTATACAACCATGCTTTTAGATCATAAGCTAAAATATAGCCAAAGGAATAGTTTCTTCACCAAAACATACTTTTTATTTCACCAAAACATAGTTTAATCTCAGATATATCAAGCCCTAGTTTTGAAATTCTGATCTAAAATATTCATATTTAACAATATGCACATGCATGTACAAATACATATATAATAATGGATTTATTGTATAGTATCTAGAAATTGTGTTTAAATATAGTGTTTATACTTAAATAATTTACGTCGCATGTTTACGTTACTGTGTACTTTAGCTACATCTTTCACTGTTTCTGATTGGAATTGTTAATGAAGAAAAATTTTTTCCCCTCTGAGAGATTTCAGTATCATTTTGTCTAATGGTTCCTATTTTAAACTACCCATATTATAAGCTTCTTTGGAATAATAAAGTAGTAGTGCAGTTACCCTTTTAAGGAGCTCTGAGTTCGTTATGCCATTACGGTTTGGTGACATTCTGCTGACTACTGATGAATGAGAAATGCTAATCTAAAGATGGTTTCTTTTACACACCTTCATAAAAACAGTACTAGTATGTTATTTAGCAAAATGTTTATGTTATTGAAAATTCAAATTCAAGGAGTTTAGTGCAGTTCTAACAACATTACTAGCAGGACTTGTCAACTGTCAATCAAATGCATAAAACCAAGTGAGTTTATTTGCACGCTATCATTTTAACTAGATCTCTAACAAGCCTTGTCTGCTAGTTGGATTTAACATTTATATTACTAAATGAGAAGCATTTTGGCTGCTACATAGGTTGGTAAGACCTACTCAGTGGAATAAACAACTAACATCTGTTATCCTGTCCTGCTGCAGCTTGGCTTTCACCATCAGCCCTGAAATCAAGGTTATCAATTATATGAATCTCTGGCTCACCCATGTATATGTGACTGCGAGAAATAGTGCATCATGAGAAAAGACCAGCCAACCAAAAGATATTGTGTATTATGTATTTTGTCTTAGTTTTAAAAGCCCTACTACAACCTTAAGCAAAAGCTAATAGAGATTAGAATTTTTGCAAGGTTTTTATAGTAACTTTTAATAATTAATTTCAGTTCTTTCGCATTTTCCTATCTGTAGAATTTTATATTGATAATTGTTAAATTAAATATAATTACTTTTATGTTTATTTATTTAATTTTTTTAAAAAGAAGCTAAATTTGGATTTGGCTGGTCTTCGGAAAGAAAAAGAAGATTTACTAAAGAAATTGGAGTCCTCATCTGAAATCACAAGTTTGGCAGAAGAAGTTTCCCGGGTAACAGTTCCACAGATACAAGTTACGTCAATTGGTCCTTCAAGGAGCATGGATTTGGAAATGAAGCAATTGCAGTGTAAACTAAAGGTGATTATAAAGTTTATTAAGCACGAAAACATAGGTTACTCAATCCTCAAAGTCATGTTTATATCAACTCTAATTTATTCCAATAAAAGTAAATTATGGTATAAATCATCCAAAAATTATTAATAGTACGTTTGACTTCAGCATTCAGTTTTAGCCTGCTAGATTCTTGTCTGGTAACTCTAATACTATTGTCTGGAAAAAACGACAAGACACCATGAAATCTTTTCCTAGGTGCTAATGGAAGCTGGCCAGTGCCTCCTGCTCCAATTCTGTACTCAACTACTCTCTGCTCCCCATGCCTCCTTCCAACTGAACAGAGTTCTTTCATACATGTAATGTATCAGCATAAATAGAATTTCTTTACTCTATACACTTGCTACAATTTTAATTTGATTGTTATTGGTTGGAGATGGGAAGGCGGGGGTTGGGAGAAGCAGCAGAGAACAAAGGTGGGTTGGTTTAATAGATTTCAGCAAGTTAAACCTGAGAATGAGAATAAAAAGCAATGTTCCTTTTGTTTATGAAGAATTGTACCTAAAAACCAGGCAGAACTGTCAACAAATTAAAAATAAGGCTGACCCTAGTTTAAACAGAATTATCTTGTAAGAAACAGGATTTGTGAGTTTTAATTGTAAAGTTCATTTTCGTGCTGCTTAAAACAAGCTCTTTTATTCCTCACGTATTTAATTATTTTCTTCATTGCAGATTGCTAGCTAGAAACTACAGGGCATTGTATATGGGATCATAGCTATAATGAGAGTTGCTACAAAGAAAATCCTGATTGTAAATGCACAGAGTACCTTAGAAATGGAATAACTATGGTTGTTAAGAGGACATTGGAATATTGAATTGTCTAGTAGACTCATAGTCGTTTTCAATCCAAAACATTATATGTACACTCTCCAATAATAATAATATCTTTTATAGCAGGATTACTAATGGGATAAAGTAGGATAAAATTTTAAAATAATGAGTATATCATTGCTTGAAAATATTTTGCTTTATTAATAATAATAAAGTATACAAACTAGTATTAATTGAGATACTTCTTGAATACCATCTTCTTCAGACAATTTTTATGGGTAGAACTTGCCTCAACCACAACATTTTATAGTTTTAAATACCTAATACAATATTAGAAATGAGAAAAAAGTTGTGCAAGATTTGTGGCATGTTTCTTCTCTTCATATTTCTGTGATTCTTTTTATATTTAAGTCTTCATGACTGTAATATAACTTTATTTTTCAACAAGATAAAATGAATGCTAGATCCAACATTGTCTAATCTGACATCTAAATTTTCTTTCCTTTTTTTTTTTTTTTGTTTGGTGGTTGGCCAGTAAGGGGATCTGAACCCTTGACCTTGGTGTTATCAGCACCACACTCTAACCAAGTGAGCTAACCAGACAGACACTAAAATTTTTTAAATTGCTAATAGTTTTAAGTTGATTTATATTTTGCTTATTTGATTTTACCTACCAGAAATGGTCTAACTTAATTTTTTGTAATAATAGGTCCATATGAGTATTTGTAAATTATTTGTATTATGATTTTCCATGATATAATTTTTTATCCATATATAAATATCTCTCTTGCTTTGGAGGAATGTGTGAGTCTGAAAGGTGAGACTAACAAGGGTGCCTAAAGTAATTTAAAGTGACACTGTCCATATCTACCTAGAGTCCATGCTGCATAGAAACAAAAAGGATAAATGTTTACTTCTGTCTTGTTTCATGATTTAATATAGAAATTTCCTAGAAGACAAGGTACTTTTAAGTGCATAATACTCTGCTACTAAGACTTTCTATTTCAATATCGTATTAGTTTGCCAGGGCAGCCATTACAAAATAACACAGACTGTGTGGCTTAACCAACAAACGTTTATTTTCTCACAATTCTGGCGGCTGAAAGTCCAAGATCAAGATGTCAACAGATTTCGTTTCTTCTGAGGCCTCTCTTCTTGGCTTGTAGATGGTTCTCTTCTCCCCGCATCTTCACATGGCCTTCGTCTTTGTGTCTCTGTGTCCTAATTTCTTCTTTTTATAAAGACACCAGTCATATTGAATTAGGGCCAACCCTAATAACCTCATTTTACCTCTTTAAATGTCCTGTTTCCAAATACAGTCACATTCTGAGGTATGGGGTGTCAGGTGAGTACTTCAACATATAAATTTTGGAGTAACATGAGTTAGCTTATAGCAGGTGTCAAACTGCTAACACAGTGATTTCCTAAGAAGTAACTTATTTTCTAATTGATATTTTCATGCTTAATTGAGAAAATTGGTTAGATTTGAGTCTATTAAAGATCTACCTACATCTTTTTAATTCTATCCTATTACGATTAGACTTTTCTATGTAATTTCTTATGTGTACTTTTCAGATGTCCGTGATCCATTCAGTGCTATTAACATGCTGATGTGCATTTTCTGTATCTTCATTTTTACCCATAGTAAGCATGTTTTCTCAAGGTACCCACCTTTATATAGATAGATAATAAAATATTTAGAGATAAATAAATTCCTGTCAGTGAATAATACACATCAATCGTTTATATTTACTTTATTTGTAGTTCTTTAGACAACCTGGGCTAAATAGTACTCCAATTTATATTTGTGATTTTTTGACCTCCTGATTTTTGAAAAGTGTTCCTTTTGATATATACCATGTTGTCTTCCAGTTTCCCAGTGAATTAATAATAATGAAGGCTGGTAGTTTTTAAACTACTGTTCCTTTACATATAATCATTGCTAGGCTGGTTCTAAGTGTTTTACAAATATTAATTCTCATTTCAACGTGGTAAGATAGGTTCTGTTATTACCCTTATTTTACAGTTGAGAAAACCAATTCACAGAAAGAATAAATTACTTGTCCAAGGTCACACGACTAGTAAGTGGTAGAGCTGAGGTTATAATTCAAGCTATCTGGCTCCAGAGTCCATGCTCTTAATCATCACACTATGCAAAATTTTAAAAAATATTTAATACACTTAGTATAGGAAAGCCCTAACCAGATGGATTCTTACCACTGTGACATTGTTGAAATATGTGTTTTATACCTGATTTTAAATCATAAATATTATGTAGTAGGGAATGGAAAAGGGACAAAGGACCTGGGTTTTGATCACTTTTTGGCCACTAACTTCTTGTGGGATGTGATTAGGGAAATCACTCAACTTCTCCAGAGGTCCAAACCGGGAGTACCTTTTCCCCATCTCCTATGGATTTATTGATGATCAAATGAAATAGCTGTCAGATTTAGAGATTTTGCAAAAGTATATATGTCAAGCTGGCATCATTGTTTTATTTATTATAATTCAGTAATCCCTCAATCATCCAGAAGTCAAAGTTACAGCATTTTCAGCTATATAAAATATAGCCTTAAGTCTAAAAACAGAAAAGAATTAAACAGCTATCTTAAAACCACCTAATTTATTACATTGAAGATATTATCAGACTTTACATACTGCCTGTTGTCTCTTATTTTAAATACAGTTTTAAGTGTATTTATTTTACTTCTCAGCAAAAAACATCTTAAAAGCAACAAATTAGAAGTATGCATATTAAGGGGCAGGATGATCGTTTTTAGGCAGGAGTATTAACAGAAGGAAAAAATTATGACAGACATTGACAGATAGAAAAAGGAAATATGAAATGTTAGGGTAAATACGAAATTAGAAAAACATCAGTCTGGGACCATTTAGAGTAGGGATATGTAGACATTTATATCATGATGACACCACTGTATTATAGCATAGTGACAATATAATAGATATAGTAATATATCATATAATTAATATAGTAATAATACTTATAATATCACTACAAGTATATTAATGTATCACTATTAGCTTAGCATAATCACGGATGTTCATATTTCTAAGTGAATGAACAGTCATTCCAGAAACAATGTAAGATTAGTGATTAAAGCAAGAGCTTCAGTTATTCGTTAAATTTGCAAGTGTAGAGCATCTTATTCTGGCAATACAAGAAATATGACACTATACAAGGGTACATCAAAAAGTTTGTAGAAAAATAGAATTAAAGGTAATACAAATCTTTCCATGTATTTTTTTGAAGTACCTGCGTACATCACTGTAAGCATACAAAATATGGAGGAAATTTAGAGTGCATTAGACACACATTTTATAAAAACATTCCATTTTGTAACAATCTAAACAGTTGCCATGCTGAGTTAGTTTTGAGTTTTTAAGAAAAATTAATTTCACATTTTATGGAAAAATTTAAATTATTTATATAATGCTGTACTAATGAGATGTTTAAAATTGGTCTGATGAATTTGACTCACATTTATTTATCTTGTGTGATTAATGGTTTTATCTTTTGAGATTCAAATTGTTTTTAGCATGTGTCAAACATCCAAACCTAGGAATAATTCAAATAGAAACCATTTATTGTAGTTTAGAAAGATTAGTGAAATAATCACTCCAAATATTTTAAAGCTATTATATTTTATTCTATTTATATTAGTTTTAATTGTTTGCCATTAAGTATTGTGAATTTATTACTCTTCTTGAGAATGGTATTTTTATGCTGCTTTGGACTGAGATTGAAAGGTATATTTAAGTTTCTGTTTGTTTTAAATTTAGAATGCAACTAATGAACTCACTAAACAGTCATCAAATGTGAAGTCTCTGAAATTTGAACTCCTAGCGAAAGAAGAACACATAAAGGAGATGCATGAAAAGTATGGGCTTCATATTTCTATCCATTGTATTTGGTGCCACCTAGTGGTAGTCAACTCTGTTAAATGTTGTGTCCACAGAAAATACCAACATGAAGTTTTTCTTCCTTAGTTTATGTTTAAGCCTACATAAGATGAAAGTTTAAGGAATACTACATATAGGATGATTAATGGCAAGCTATTTGCTATTTTTTAATTAGGGTAATATTTAAAATTAGCTTTTCTTTATTAAACATAATTAATTTTGAATAAATATAAATAATGGCCTCAAGATTATGACCAAAAACTTTAAAGTGTCGCAATAATTTGACCAAAAATATATATAGATTGATACCTACATTGACTTTAATGCCTAAGCTTGTAAAGCTAAGGTGGAAAAGGGAAAGTTTTGTCTGTGTTTAAAATAACTGGAGGTTATGAAAGTTTGTACTTTTTGTTTTTATTAATAAAAAGGGATTTTAAATGCTCTATCCCATTGAATCAAAAATATTTTCTTTTGGTATCTTTTGTAGCTGTACTAGAGCTTAGAGGTAATAACATGTTTGGATAGAATTCCAGTCATCATTGATAAATTTGAGTCGTACTCATATGTATCTCATACACATACCTGTATACCACATTATAAGTAAAGAGCCCTTAAAATTGATATTAATACATAAAAGAGATTGGTTAATACATTCAAAGACATTGGTTAATTCTTTTAACTGAGAATATATTGAAGTTTACTTATAGATTAAGAGGCTTGCTTATTGTTTAATGGCAAGGGCTCTAGAGAAACACTCTTTGAATCCTCGCTCCTTAACCTACTGGCTGTGTGCCTCAGTTTAATAGTATTAATTCATTAGGTTCTTATGAGGAATAAACGAGTTAATACATGTAAGGCACTTATGACACTGGCTGGCACATAGTAAACATTCAGTAAATATTAGCTATTGTCATTCGGTCATAGCAGCAGCAGCAGTTGCAGCTTAGTAGTAGTAGTTGTCACTGCATCTACCATTTTATACTTAATATTGCATCAATTTAAGCTAAACTAATATGTGAATTCAATCTCAAATAATATTAAGTTACAAGATACTATGCCTATTACAAGATTTTACAATCCAAAGTATAGGATTGTTTCTTATCATTGTTATGGTTTTGATTATCTCTAAATATCACTGATTTTTTTTAGCAATGCAAAAATGTAATTTAAATATAATTCTGTTTTCATAAATTTTATTAACCTTAGTTCTTTTTTTAGCATATATGTAGTACTAGAATAACCAAGTCACAACTGAATTATAGATTTTATAAGTACTTAAAATATTAACAGAGCAATATTTTATTCAATGCAATTTATTTCCTAATTTCATTTTCATTAATATTAGGTAACATTTAAAAACTAACAGTAGAGCTAATAAAAATAAATACACAAACAAATATATGGGGGAGGGGTAAAAAGAAGACACAATGATCATAATTCATTGAACTTGTTAAGATAAGTAAACAGATATGAGGTAATGGGGGGGAAGGAGAGGGGAAAAGGAGGAACTGGTAAAGGCACATGAAAATCAACTACATTGTATATTGACAAATTAAAATAAAAATAAATAAAAGACTATTAAAAAAATAAAAGCTAACAGTAGGTATAACACTGGATAATATGTAAGATATCATTACTGTTGAAGTACTTTCTATCACTCTTGATAAAATACCATTTTTTCTTTTCCAGGATGTCTCGAATGGAGAGGGATATAACTATGAAAAGACATTTGATAGAGGACTTGAAATTTCGACAGAAAGTAAATTCAGAAAGTAGTGAGAGTTTTAATGAAATGTTAGAAAATCTCGAAAAAAAGGTATCAATTTTTATTTTCACTGATACTAAAAATATTACTTCCCCTTATATTTACTTCATTAACTCAGATATTCAATACTAATAAATGTATAGAAAATACTCACAGAATATACACTTACTGTTGTAGAATTACATTATTTGCTCTGAAAGTACATTATTTGTTTTAAAATTCAAGGTTCCAAAATTGTATATATAATGTAGCTGCACATTCTGTTTCTATTTGTGAATATCTTGTGAGAGGATAATCAAGTTTAATTTTTATAATCTTTAATATTTCTGGGATACATAATTCTACTTTATTCGGTATTTTGTGTTATTTAAAACTACAATTTATAATGATAGAATCAAGCTTATATTTCTAAATGAAAAAGTGATAACCAATAACTACCAGAAGTTCTTTAAAAACTGTACTTTTTTTTCTTGTATGTACTTAATTTAGTGTACATAGGAAGGGAGTTGTTTTTAAAAATCATTATATAATATATGACCCCAAACTAGAAAGTTTTTGTTTAAACAAAAAAAGGTACTGCTTGGACAACTGATAAAGTAGCCTGTGCTTTGGAATTCACTAAATGTTATCCACTCCTGAAAAAGCACCTTGTCGAAGATGAAAACATAAGTATCTATTAGCTCAAGTGGATTAGAGAGAAAATTTTAAATGAGCATAACAAATGCTCATGGATTTTCTTTCTTTCTCATCCACATGCCCACATATATTATAATTACTTTCTATAGGTTTTTTCAATGTTATCCTTTAAATTTTGTATATTTTTTACTTCAGTAATCATTCCAGATATAGCCTTAGGATCTTTGTATGTATAAGTAATCATATATTGTTAGTGGCGTTTTTTCAATGTTATCCTTTAAATTTTGTATATTTTTTACTTCAATAATCATTCCAGATATAGCCTTAGGATCTTTGTATGTATAAGTAATCATATATTGTTAGTGGCATTAAATTGAAAAAGAAAAACTGTTTCTTCTTTTATTCTTTGAAATGTATAAGTATGTTCTATTACTTATTTAATTTTATCCTAAAAAGTACATGTTATACTTATTTTGGAGAAAACAACTGAAAGTTATCCATAACTATGCTTGTTTCAGAATCAAAACCAAACATCTGTCTAAGGCAGTGTAGGTTAGTAATGAAAGGATGTGTGGTTAATATTAGTATTATGTTATTAGGTATAAGACTATACATATCACTATTCATACATATTTTGTGTAATTTTGTTTTTTGTTTTTGATTTAAGGAATGTTAGTTTCATTCATAAGATGAGTTTTGCAAGTACAATACTTGAATTTGATACCATTTATTAGGAAATGAAAGGAATTAGACTCATTTATTTATTAGATTTTGTTGAAACGAATACTGTGCTACTAGAATGCCTTTACCAATAATAATTACTTTTATGATTTTATTGTAGGTAAAGACGTTAACTGAAGAATGTTCCAACAAGAAGGTATCCATTGATTCACTAAAGCAAAGACTTAATGTCGCTGGAAAAGAGAAGTCACAATATGAACAGATGTATCAGAAAACTAAAGAAGAGTTAGAAAAAAAAGTATGTTTTTAGGACATTTTAGCCTAGAAATGTAATATAATAATGTCTTTTTCATTTTTAATATTGTCATTTTTTTCTCCCACAAACTGCCAAGAGCTACTTAAATATTTCAGACAACTACAAAGAACATTTGTGTATCTACATGAAACACTAAGAATTTGTTTAACATTAATGATGGTGCTGTATTAGAGAAAACAGATTTTGTTTGTCTTGATAATTTCTAATAAATGAAAACTATTTTTAAGAACTGGCATTTATACAACTGTTCATAAATCTTTTAGGTCTACCTAAACTCATAAATAATTAAATTTGGTATATGGGATCTTTTGGTCTGAAATAGTTTCGATGTCTTTAATGATTTATAATCTTTAAAAAGCATAAACTAATTTTGATGATAAATATATGAGACTATGTTCTTAGGATATTTTATTGAAAATAAATGAAAACAGTCATTAATTTTACCCAAATAAAAATAAATAAATTTATAGAGAGAGTAATAAAACCCTTTACTTATCTGACATGTGTAACTAAGTCTTCCAGATCTGTTACTGAAATATTTATTTTATGATTACTGATATTTTGCAGGATCTCAAGCTTACTTTCCTAGTATCGAAAATAAATGAGACTGAGTCTGCAATGGCAGAAATTGAAACAACAGCATCTAAGCAGCTTCAAGGATTAGCATTGCAAAGTGAGCATGTCCTAGAAGGTGCACAGAAGAAATTGCTGTTAGCCAATGAGAAAGTGGAAGAGTTCACCATATTTGTGAAGGTTCGAATTATTTGTGTTTTACTAACTTGTACTTTACTTCAAGCAGAGTAGGCAGTGGCCTACTTCAGATGATTTGGGAATACTTTCAAGTTTCTTTCTGCTTTCCTAACCCACAAAGCATTTTCTCCCAACCTACTTGTCACATTGCTCAAAATTCCTCTATACAAGATTTATTTTTCCAGTTTCAATTTAAAATTTTTCACCCTTTTTAATATCTTTCTTAATGTCAATTTAGTTATGAAATTGTAGTAATCAAGAAATTAAAAACTGGTTTTAAAATGAAAGAATTAAGTCATTTTAACTCTACTCTCCTTTTGAAAACCATCCAAACAAGAACAATAACCAGAAACTTGGTCCATGTTTAGTGAAGCTAGGAGACATGTGAACGCCGGTACACAAATTATCAAACCATAGAATGGATGGAGGAATGGTAAATGACTTAGTAGAACAAAGAGAATACAAACTTAAGTGTCTGCAGAGGTGTACCATCTAGGAATTATCTAAAAGCTGAAGAATCCCAGAAAGACTTAGGAATTGGTTACATAAGGAACCACTAAATCTGAGAATGACGGAGGAGGGACAGATATGTGGCTAACACAAGTAGTTTGTTTGAGAGTCTTTGTAAGCAACTTTTAGATCTCCAGTCTATACTTCCACCTTGTACAGTTAGGCAGTATTTCTCCCTTAACCATCTGAAGAAACTGAGGAGGAGAGGCTCTGAATTCAGAGGTGCTAGGCATGGGCCGGCCCGGTGGCGCACTGCTATAGTGCGCTGATTGGGAAGTGCGGTGGCGCTCCCGCTTTAACCATCTGAAGAAACTGAGGAGGAGAGGCTCTGAATCAGAGGTGCTAGGCATGGGCCGGCCCGGTGGCGCACTGCTATAGTGCGCCGATTGGGAAGTGCGGTGGCGCTCCCGCCGAGGGTTCGGATCCCACATACAGACCGGCCTCTCACTGGCTCAGAGGTGCTAGGCAGTGAGGGCTGATGATTGCTCTGCCCCTTTTAACACTACTGTGAGTTATTGAGTTATTTACAACTGTTTAGTGCCCTTTACTCCTCTTTGTATATAGTTAGTAAACAAATCTATTGTTACTGGATAGATTGTGATGAGTCCCTTGAGGGAAAAGACAATGTTTTATTAATCTCTACCTCTGCAACATGTTCCATAGTGCTTTGCAAAGAGTAGTCACGCAATAATGATCACTAACTAATCACATTAAATTATCATTAGGAATGTGAAATTTTCATGGTAACCCTTTTAGTCTTTAAAAGTAAGAACTAAAAAAGTTCGACTATAGTGGGAACATAATTTTTTCCTTTCTTCCTCTTCTCCCGAAATCCAAATGTTCTTTTTTTTCCCTCCCAACCTTTAATAAGACTGAGCTCCTTGTACTTTTTCCTTCACATGCCATGCATTATTAAAAACTGGCAAATCATAGCAGTAGATACTTATTTACATACATAAAAATATTTTCAAACTACAGAATCTTTAAAAATGGAAGTTTAGGGCCGGCCTGGTGGCGCACTAGAGAGTGCGCCGCTTGGGAGCGCGGCGGCGCTCCCGCCGAGGGTTCAGATCCCAT